TTGGACAAAATCATGCAGATGAGAGAACAACTTATCCCTGAATAACTGTGCATATACAGACACAAAAGAAAAGCTTCAGGTATAAAAGTATACTGCATCAGTTAAAATGGAAATTGTCTTGTACTTGCCATAGAATTTTGATAATAACTACTTGAGTGGTTTGTTTTGCCAGCTCACAGTGACATTTCAATTCAAGTGCTCTGTATCAAATTTTAACTACATATATTCAAAAGAGTTAATCCAAAAGCTAAGTGCTGAAACTGAATTGTTTTAAAGGAAAGCTAAAGCAAATTCCAAGTCTTTCTTCTTAGCATTCTTAGAAAATTATAATGCTAGGATTCCTGGTTCAGAAGCAATTTTGTAACACCAATATGTGAATGGCCTTCATAGAACAAGGTGATTAGGCTGGACTAATTAAAAACTACATAGTGGAGAATAAAAATAATATTAAAAAAGGAAGATAGTTTTCTATCACTGCTGCTGGAAGTAAATGAATTTCCAAACAACCCTTCAAAGGAAAAACTCCACTCTGTCTTTACTCTCTTCCCATGATGTATGATGGAACCACAGGTGGATATATCTATGCAGAATGCCCAGATTTCTGTATGGATGCAGACAAGGAGGAAAAAATGGCAGACTTGGCCAGCACAAGCCAGAGAGAAACATTTGAAGAATGGAAAATAGCTTTAAAAAGCAGTGTTTGGAAAAACCCCAAACAAACAATAACCAAGAAGTATAAAATTTCGTAACACACAAAAGAGAAATGTGTGCCAGCATGTGGATCTGTGCACACGTCCATGTACCCAACAGCTACACAAGTACAACCATACTGAGCTCCTTCCCACAGCAATTTTATTTTTAGTCTTTAATGCCACTGTTTTCTTTAATCAGGGGTTTCTTGAATCTAAAATTGCAATTAAAAATTCAAACAAAATACATTTTTTGTTTTCTTGTGCAGAAAAGAAGCAGATGTTTGGGATAAATTCATTTACACTGCGATTCTTGATCAGGCTGGGATCCCTGCAGGTTTAAAAATTATGATGTTAGCTCTTAGGCTGAGATGGACTATTTTGGGTCTGTGCCACAGTACAGAAGGCAAATCAGATATGCCACACATTTTCCCCAGGAAGTTAAACAAAAAATTTAATCCCTATTTCAGTGTTTCTGTGAAGACCTGGAGAAAAAATTGGGTGCTAGTTAGAACCCAGAGCTGGAACAGACTGAAACATGAGCAATGCAAATGGCTACAGCCCTCAAATAAATCCACTAAGCTTGGAGACAAAACACACTCCCATTCTACAGAATGTTATCATGGGTCAGAATCTCTGTAAGGATTTCATTGGCTATGAATAATTTGCATTCATGTGGTTTTTTTATTACTGTTTAAGAGCACAATGTTAATTTGATAATAAAAAAATGTAGTTTATATTCTATGCAAGAAAGCCTTATCAAAGAAATATAATCATTAACTCCTGAAATCTCAAAAACTTATTTTCAAAAGCTCAGCAATGGAATTTCCTGTATTTGTGGGTTTGTTTACAATGCCCATAAATTCTTACATTATCTCAAGAAACATACTGCTTAATCAAAAGTATGTGAAAACAAAATTGTTTAGAATCAATGATCGCGGGATCATAGAGTAGTTTGGGCTGGGAGGAACCTTTAGAGGTCATCTGGTTCCAACCCACCTGCAACAAACAGGGACAGCTTCCACTAGGTCAGGTTGCTCTGAGCCCTGAACAATCTGATCTTGAATGTTTCCAGGGATCACCTCTGTGGACAACCTGTTCCAGTGTTTCACATAAAAAAGAAAAATTCTGCCTTATAAATAATAATATGCTATTGAGAATTTGCAAGGTTCTAATTATTTCTTTGCTAAAATTAGATATAGAATACTGAAGAACTACAGAATTTTTTTCTACAGCCATGAGAGCAGTGCATTAATGAAAGCATAAGGTACTGAGACAACATGCAACATTTCAAAAAGCATAAAAGAGGATGATGAGGAAACTAGGAAAAACATAGGTTTAGGCAGTAACAGTAATGATGCACACTTCTGTGCCACTGCTACTTGGCTTTTGAATTATTCTGCTATGAATGTGGCAGAAATATCAGCACTGTAGGAATCTGAGCAGTTTGCAATATTTCAACCAGCAGACAACAAGACAACTACCCTACCCTTCCCTGCCCCCCCTCCATTTCCTTCCTATGATTCATCATTGCAAAGACATTCTTCAAAAATGTTTGTCTATATCAGGAATCCTTCTGCAGAAGTAAAGAGGTGAGAGTCAGCAAAATCTTGACAATCAGCTCACTGGAACAAAGTCACAAGAATTTATTGTGTGAAAGTTTGTTGAATATAGACTTGATGAAAATGCTGGAAATACAGCTCCTATTGTATTCCAGGACGTCTGATTTGAGTAAGTAGAGTTTGAAATCCAATGCAAGGGGAGAAGATGAATCTATTATTCTAATATATGTCTTATGATTACTTACCAAAATGTATTATCTTTTTAATCAAATCATATAGAAGAGGTTGTAAAGAAAAGGAACTGGAAGTATTATTAAAAAAATCTCCAAGTATTATCAGTGCCTTGGAGACAGGCTTAAAAAAGGTAAGAACCATTTACCTACACATAAAAGCCTTTTTTTTTTTTTTTTAATGTCTAAGAAGTCCTTCTGAGATAGCAAACTAATCAAAATTCTACTCTGGTAGAATAATAAAATCCTACCAAATTCTAACCTTAAATGCTACCTCCTAGAAAGGATATAAAACCTGTATCTTGACTCACCTCATGAGAATATAAAAATAAAGGAAATAATTTATTGGGAACACATCTATTTTTTGTTGCAGCATATGCTCATAAGTAGCCAATAAATTCGTAGCAGGAGGGGAATTTTTTCATTTTATTTTGGAACGGCTCAACCAGATTTTGATCAAAGCCACTTTCACTTTAGAGAGAGAATTCTTATTCTCAGCATATTCTTTCTCAAACCTTCCAGCTTCTCTTCTTCCTTTTCCCTCACCCAGACTAAGAATACTTCAAGCATCATACCACCTTCCATTTAGTAGAAAAACCTTTAGAAACACATCAAACCACTTGACAAAACAGTGTGTATGGAAATTCAAGATACATGAAGACCAGTGGAATTCCAGGCAGATCAAGCACTAGAGCTAGAACTCAAAAAAAAAAAAAAAAAAACTAATACTGCCAACTGAAAAATAGTTTAGACAAGCTGGACAGAAGGCTTTGCTTTACTGAAAGACTACAAATAATCAGAAAACTATTTTAGTCAACAAACCTGCTAAAAGTGGACTTGTACAAAAAACCACACACCCAAGGACAAACTGCAACCATGCCCCATCACATTACATGCTGACATAAATGACTCTGGAGATAGTCTGGCTTACTCTTGCAACAGTTGTTTCACTGACTTTACTGAAATTTTGAATACTATTTAAGTGATGCTTTCAAATAGGAATTTTTAATGTCAATTTACTTCTCAAGCCTGAAAGCAAGTTGGATTATTATCTCTAAAAGAGATACGCTTTTACATTAAACCTGATAGGTATTATAAATAGTGACAAATGACAAAGTGAATCTTTCATCACACAGGTATGCAGAAAGCAACATTATGCCATCAAAATATCACTGTATTCCTAAATGTTTTGTACACAAGAGCCAGTGGGACCTTAGGGGGCTGTGGGTTCTGCCTACCAGTGACCCTATTTACTCTGGGAGGATGGAAGAAAAAAAGCAGCATAAAAGAATTAGAGAATACTGTGGCCTTGGCAGGTACAAGTAGCATACATGAATTCCAGAGGAGTTTGGTACTACATAGGATGAATAAAAACACTCAATAATAGAAACTACTGTGGCAGTGGTATATTTTCTATCAGGAGCTGTTATGTGACATGCTTGTGTGGCAAATAAAGACAGCTATATGAAAGGATTATGTTATCTTCATAATCGGTCATTGATGTGGAGGGAAAAAAATTGCCATTTTATGTTACCATAAAAACTAAAAAATCAACTCTTCTAGCCATGTGCTGCTGATAACAAAAGTATTTGAAAAAAATCTGCATTTAAAAATACAAAGGTAGACAATCTGAGTGATAAAATTCCCCTTGCCTTGTCTTCATTAATAGGTGTGGAAACCACGGAGCACTGGTTCCAGCTGTAACTGTGATGCATACACTCCTGCGGGTGGGTGTCTTAGGATACAAATACTCTCACAAAAAGAGGGTTGGGATCATGGTGTTGCTGATTGCCTATCACAGTTTAAAGTGTTAGCTAGCTCAAGGCAATAACCTAGAGAAGAATCCTGCTGAACTTCTTCCCTTCACCCCTGGTGAGTGTGGGAATCCAGAGCTTCCCTCTGGCTGCCCTGGAAGGCCTGGGACCCTGGCAGGGGGTCAGGAACCCCCCTGTACAGAGCCCCCAGAGACACTGTCTGTGATCTCTGTCCATGGAAAAGAGTTTTCAATCTTACAGGATATAAGTAATAACTAAGTGTGGCACGGGTGCAAAAGTAAAATTTTAGGATTCTAGATTAGGGGTCCAAAGGGGACAAGATGGAGGAAATTGGGTGTGTCTTGTCCTTTTTCTTTTTCTTCATGCCCTCCATGTTTCACTGTAGTGTTGGCATTTTTCTATTGGTTCAGGCTGGGGACACACTGTTCAACGTAGATGACAGATATTGGCACATTATTGTAAATATAGCACAGGTAGTTTCTGGTATTTAATGTTTGTAACATCCCACTGAGGGCAGAGCCCCACACGCTGCCCTGCAGGACAGAGCTGCGGCAGGGCAGCAGAACATGTTAGAGATAAGCAAGAATAAACAACCTTGGAAACAGCACAGCCGAATTTTATGGCTTCTTCTCTGGCAGTGGGGCTGAGAGACAGAGACTTTCTACAATCTCGGAATCATCAATACCACAGATTCCGACAGTGAGAAATTCACAAATAGCTGGCAAAACAGTCATTGCCACCCACCTTCTGTGGTGACTGGGAGAGAGATCTCCATGCAGGCTGCAGACTGGGCTTTCCTGAAGGGGGGCCTGCCGGGCCCTCGGCGGTTTGCTCTCGACACATCTGCACTGGAAAGTCGCTTGCCTGAGCTGCAGCTCTGGGATGTTGGGCTTGTGCAGTGGCCATTCACGTGATCTGGAAAGTGAATGCAACAAACGCTAGGTAAAGTGTCAGCTCCCAGGATTCCCAATGGAGGAGAAATGTGTGTTCTGACACTTGAGAATGGGTTAAATCAAGTCTTCTGGGAATAACTACTGATTTGTTTTACTAACCCATTGCATGTATGTAGAAAATAACTCACCATAACTTTAAGGTATAGTTTGAAAAAACCCAAGGGCCATAGAACTGGTGCTTGTTCTTAGAGTTGCAGATCCCACAGCATTTTGCTGACCTATGCACACAGGCATCCAAAGTACTGCAGGTAACACTGGCACCCTGCTGTTGTGTCTCCTAAGAGATACCAAGTCAATTTGAATGTTTTCTTTCCTTTTTGCTCTCCTAAGAACTGAAAGTATCATTTACTAAAGGGTAGAATTCAGAGCTAGACATCTTCCCTGCCTGACTCAAAGCTGCAGGAAACAGGCCACTATTTGAGATAATTACAAAAATAGCCATAATATTGATAAGTATTTTATTCTTTATATATCACATAGATTTATTTTACTTCTAAGGAAACTGACTGCTGAACAATTGATTTGTCTGCTACAGCTATATAGAAATAAGGCCATGGTCAATCGGCACAGCACACATTGCTGTCTCATGTGGTGGGAAACAAAACATGCCTGCTTCAAACTCTCACTGCATTCATCTGTTCTTGGTCAATAGGTCTTTAAACCACAACATCCATTAATCAGGGTTTGGATCAGAGTTCAGAACTGGACTGGACCATAAAATATTCACATGATATTTTTCTTCCTCTCATGCTGGGCAAGACGACACAAGGAGAATTACTGAACACAATTTCCCCTTCAACATATGAAAGGATGCACACCCAGGTATAAGTGGATTATTTTTGGTCAGCAGGTTATTTTTAAACAGCAGGTCATAAGCAAAACAAAAGTCCCGGTTCATCCAAGCACACTGAGGATTTTGTTCAAAACTGTAAAAGCTCAACTCTATAGGTAGGGACAATCTTGGGGTTTCTGCCTTAATTTTAAATGTTGGGTTATTTATATATGAGAATTATCTTAATCTTCTAGAGTCTGCATTTACATATCCTATTCAGTCAACTCTCTTTGATTTGTATTGTATTCAAGGAAAAGATGAATGTTCATGTACCAAGATAAATTTATTTATTGGTTACCATCCCATGATAGCACCAGTGTACCTTATGAAAAGCTATTTCTACGTTCACTCAATATTCCGGTCCTATGCTGAATACAGTGTACAATGTGGTACATGTAGCCTTTGAATGTGCAAGTCACATCCTTTCCACATGAAAAAAGTTCACTCTTAATGAACAAAAGTGGAAAAAATATTCAGAAATATAGATTAGAAAGCAATTTAGTATCTGTACTGTGTAACAAAATAGCTCTGTAGGAGACACAACTTCCATGATTCGTGTCATTTTTCCTTAATAGATGACTATTAACTGAGCTAACAGCAGATATAAAACTGATGTGGATGACTCATTCCATTTTTAGTTAGGAAATTTTCCAAAATTTGCTGGAACTGTTTGTATATTTCAGCAGAAAGTCCTTTGAGATCGGGGGCTTTGTTCAAGGACACAGGCTGACTGTTCAACCTCAGCAACAGACACATCCTCATCCAGCTGCTTCCTTTCTTCAAAATTCAGTTTGTGGGAAGGTGTTTCAGCATGATATCTAATTATCTCCAGGGGGAATCCTAGGAAGTGGTGAGGAACATAACAGAGTGAAAAAAATCATATTCTATAGAAACATCAACATTTGTGAGTCCTCTCCACTGAGCATTGTACAGAATGGCCACAACACATCCAAACCCCTGGCCACTATGCCTCAGCATAATGGAAATGCTGCTATGTTTCTCTAAGTATGCTGGCTTGTCTCAGTTACCTTCAAAGACCCACATGAAATCATCATTAGGATCTGGGCACCTAAATCCCTTTAGCTGTTTTGACAATGCTTTTTTGAATAAGGAAAGCCAGTTCCTGGAAAGTAAAACAAAAATCAGGCCTCATCCTAGAAGCTGTAGGGACACGCCTTCGAGTACTGAAGTAGGTGAAATATTAGTGGGTGCTATAACAATGAGCAGAAGAGGGATTTTAGTGGTCAGCTACAAACTTGTCTGTATTTTAACACTGTTCTGTTCCTCTCATTAGATGCAACTTTTTAAAATGTATACAAGAAGAAATGCAGGTCCTCAAGCCTTAGTAAAAACACAGGATAGTATGAGTAAAATAATTACAGGAAACATTACTACAATTTTATTTCAGGGAGAAACTGAAAATAATCCAGCAGATAAAGACCACACAAATCTGTGAGAAAATTCTGTGTGTATTTTAAAATTCTCACCTTTTTTTAATGTTATAAGGCCTGTGATACAAAACAAAATTTTAAAGAAGGGTTATGTACTGTTTAAGAAAGGGTTTCTTACTGCATTGGCTGAAAAAAAGATGAAGTGTGTAAGAAAAGTGTTAAGAAAAAAAAAAACCAGTATTTTTTACAGTGTACTAAGGGAGAATGAGAATGTTCAAGCTCTCAGCCTTTCAGAATGACTGCAATGATTAACTACCCCTCTGAGGCCTGAGTCACCTGATTCTCCTTTGCCATGACAGATGTCTCCCAGCCACCCCAAAGAACACATATAGGAGGCTTGTAAAAACACAGCTTTTTGCCAGCTTTGTTTGATTTGTAAGGAAAAGCAACATTTTAACTTTTGTCCTTGCTGGATTACTGCTTTTGTCACATGGCCACTGGGGCTCTTCTCGGCTCAGAAATATTAATTGATATGGAGCATTAGTTGACATCAGGGACATAATTGCTGGACTTAAGCAGCAAGGCACAGATTGTTCTGTGCTATTGACACAATAGTGCAGCAAACAGCTCCTCACTCTCTCCTCTGGAGGAGGCAAAGAGTTGTTGCAGAAGAAAACACTGCACAAAATATCCTTTCTCTTTTCTACCACTGCATTTGCCATCACCTCCTACCCTTTGGGTGGGACTACACCTACACCCATGGGTGCTGCTGTCCATGAGATGAAGGGAATTAGAATTCTCCTCTCCAGTGCTTCTGGATCCCTTCAGCCAGTCCCACACTAATGCAATATATTTGGGCATCAGGGTTTAGTGGAACTTATCCTTGAAGCAGTTTCCAAACTGTGTAAGAGCCATCCCACTATGCCTTGTCTACTCCCTGTGGATAGTGAACTAAATGGCCAGGGCTCAGTTTATAGCTATTCTGAGCATTAATTTAAAAATTTAGGGCTCATGCAAGCCATTGGAAGTAATCATAGGCAATTACCCCTTTAGTCCATTTAATACTAATTTAACTATATTAGTTTAAAAAAGCAGTAAATCATGGTATGTATATATGATGGATTAAAATATATAACAGTTCATGACACAAAATGCTGTAACATTCTCCATGTGCTGCTTCTACAGTACAGTTCATAATTTTATTCCTTTGGGGAATTTGTATTCCTTTGTCTGGGCTCATGGAATTAAAATTGCTAACCCATATGAACTAAAAATGCTTTATCTGTCCCTGTTACCAAATACTAGCACCATTCAGTGTCCTGTGCACCCCACAAACTGCTTTAAAAAAGAAAGAGAACTTCGCTGGATGTAAGGCAAGAGAGTCACACAAAATATCAGTGGGATGATGAGATCAAGGGAAACTGAAGAAGCAACATCAGTTTCTGTGAACCTGATGAAACTACTGAGAGATGTGATGTGCAATATGACAGCAGCAAACCTGCAGGGCAGCCTCAAATGAAGCCAAATTTTCTTGAGCCACGTTGCGCAGGAAGAGTATTCTATATACACACGTGGATTTTAGTTTACACACAGAAACATGTATATCCTACAGAACCTGCCTGATTACAAACATAGATCTTTTGAACAACTTGCTGACTTCTGCAAAAATGCAAAAGAAACAAGAATTTACCAGTAAAAAGATGAACACCTGTTAAAGCCAAATGTAATGAAAATGTTAGCAAGAAAGAATAATTCATTTTCAGTTAGTGTCTTGCAGTTTTTTACACTTGACACAGAAAATCAGGAAAGAATATGATCAACCAATTCTTTCAGTTATAACAAAGGGATAAATTCAAACAGAGAAACTAGCTGAAAACCTTCTTACTAATGATTTGAGAGAGGCTGAGACAAAAAAATATAAATATCCATAATTAGAAGCATTATAGTATAATTTTAAGCTGTAAGGAAGTAATCAATAAAAGAGATGATGAGAACCAGAAGAGAACCAGAGAAATGCTTTAATATGGAGGAGAAAGAACCTGAAAAATAAGTCTCAGAATCTTCTCAACAACTGTTGAAGAATACAATCTTTACTGTTAAAGTGAAGAAAAATCCATCTGCTTCCACTGGGGAATTTTTTGTGTATTACAAATAAATAAGATTTTCAGTAATGATTATGATGGTGACTAACTTTTATTTTTACACAGCAAAGAGATACACATTTAAGTTAAGAAAAAAATGCAATCTTAAAACTGTACAAGTGGCCCCAAGAGCTGTCTCAGGTTTGTTTGTAAATAATCAAAATTAGTGTAATAGTGTGAATATTCATTAGTGAGAACACAGACTGATATCTTAACATACAAAAATTTTAAGGAATTTATTAAAAAGAAATTTCCTTAAAAAGCCAGACATGCAAATTTCTCTTGGTGCAGTTCTGTCAACCAGAGAGGAGAGAAGATAAAAGCCCTGGCAGAAGAGGTTAATGCAGAAGCGCTGCCAACAAAAATGTACATTTAACATCATGTCTTCATCAGTTTGAAGAGGAAGAAAGAGCTGCCCTAATGACATGTTGGTAGAATATCTATGTCCACTCTAACACTATAATATGCTGTCATTGTAACATTCTGCCTACTGCCTGTATAATGTAATGGTATTCTGCCTATGGTAACAAAATCCTCTCATGGTTCTAAATCCACTAAGTTTTTTGAAAGAAGGATGCACAGATATATTTGTCAGAGA